GTCACATACCTGAGATTTAGTGACAAGAACTTCACAAATAAATAATTAAACATTCTAATAAATATAGTAAATGATTTAATTTTAGTCAAATATTTGAAATAACAAAAACCCCTGCACTCTATTTATTGTACATTTAGCCGGCACAGCATGTATTCCCAAAGGGTCAATGAAATCATTATAGTGCAACAGCAGCCGACATTGAAACTAGTAACAATAGCAACAAAACATAAATAAATACGTGAGCAATCGTGAAAGAACGAAACGACATGGAACAAGTACTCTCAAGCGGGCAATAACATAAGCGCAGCACAAAAAAGAGCCAACAACAATATGAGCATGTGAATGTTAATGAAAACTGTAGCCGAAACAATAAAAAAGTATCGCGATAAAACAGTTTAACAAAAAATTAAATTATATAATAAACAAATAGGTATTAAAATATTTAAGGCATTTAAGCAACGCAGAGCAGAATCCGGAGTAAAAAATGCGTAGCGGCGTTGTGTGCATTTTGCGGCATGCAACATGTATGGGCAAATAAAAAGTTTATGAGTGGATGAATCTACTTTTTTTTAACTGAAATATAGTTTTATTCGTTCGCTCTCATTCCGGCGTTGCCAATTATTTATTGAACGTTAGTTCCTATAAAATGTTGTGAATTCTCGTTAGTAATTGTTTTTTGATTGTTGCATGATTGTATGTGAAATGTACCCATACATACACATAAATATATACATGCAAATATATGAAGTTTTATTTATATATACAATACATATGTATACATGTATCTCCGATGCTTACTTATTTATGAATTGCGGATGCAGGCAAGTAAAATACTCCAACTGTTTGCTGCTACTTACCGATAGCTTATATTGCCAACTGTGCGCTTTTATTTATTTACACATTTTTATTCTTCGCTGTATTTTTTGTGTTGTTTTCAGTGTAATCCATTGCAATGGTTTTATACCAATAAAATATTCTGTTGTAATTGATTTCTTTTAATTGCTTCATTCATGCAACAATTTTTTGCTACTAAACTGTCATAAGTGTTTTTTCATTTCGTTCAGCGCTTGATTGGTCTCTGGGCTTATTTGCACTATTTTTCGATAAAAATAATTGAAAGGATTTAAAGCTTTGCTAAAACTTAAATATTAAATATACAAATAAAACTCTAGCTTTCGCTCATAATATTTCTGTTTTTAAGAGAGAGCAATTTATAACAAGAGATAACGGGTTCTCGCTAAAATTGAGTTCTACAAAAGCCTAGAAAGACGAGTGTTACAGTAGTGAAACAAGGTCTAGAAAAATTGTCTAACCAGAACTAAGTACTATGTATTATTAAAGTGGGCCTCAAGAGCTTAACTATCAACGGTCATGTTAATAGTTAACTCAACTACAAATATAAGTAAGAAGTAAGTTACTTTAGTAGAGAAAAGTAGTTTAAAGAAGAAACTTCAACAAAGATACAAGGATTTCAAGGTCATTCTGGACCCCAAACGGACAGAGACGACTCCATTTTAAATAAAAAAGGTAAAAAAAGCATCTTAGTTGATCTACAGAGGCAAAGAGCTGCATTTTTAATTTAATGATAGTCAAGCAGGACTTAAGACCGTTCTCCCTACAATCGAGTCTACTTAAACGGAACGGACTCGGATTCCTATCTGGCTAAGGACTGCCCACTTGGCAATATTCCTCCAAATTACGGCTTACTGCCGCTACAACAACAACGCTATTTAGTACCAAAAGATAACATCTTCCTTGATCCTTTAACATTTAAAATCGTTACTTCGAGAGTAAAAGCAGAAAAATGTTCAACAGACTAAGGTGACACTTGCTCAAATCGGTAAAATCATCTATAAATAGCCAAAGGCCAAAATGATGCTAATGGATGAAAACTACTTTCGTATAAATTGTATACATAATGGTTCATTTGCTCCAGTGACTGAATTTGCTGACAAAAACAATGATATTGAACAATGAAAAATATTTTACTGTTATGGAAGATCTTATGCATGATATCTTTTTAGTATCTTACATTGTTGGCTACTATCCAGTAGTTGGATCGCAAATACGTTATCATAGTTCTCCAACGATGGTAACGACTACTAGATTCTTCTATAGTATCTTTTATAGTGGGCATTTTTAGCTCTCGAGGACATCAATTCAAACATAAAAAGGTACAACCACTTTAGGGTGAAAGAATTTCATTTTGAAAGGCTTGAGCAGAGCTCCCCAAGGTTTGAGTTCCCTACGACCAGATACTTTAATGAGTAGACTGAAGCGGGATCTTGCCTTTAGGAGCCAATACAGCTGGGCAAACCTTAACCAAAGCTGAGTGCTCTTGATTTTCATGTGGTCTCTCTATGCAGGTATACACAACTTCTATGGACTTATCAGTATTAATGCCAATGTTCAATTTGGTAGGCCAAGGTTCTAGAGCGATTAATTCCGTTTGAAAATTTCTGTAGCCGGCAATAGAATTGCTACTCGATTGCCATCATTGTGGAGTCAAAGTTAAAGCCGTCTAGAGAATGAAGAGCACAGACCCAAACACGTTATCTTAAGGTACACCAACGCGTATGGGTCTCCGATCCGACTCAGCATTACGACACTTGACGTAGAACGTCCGATTATGCAAATATGATTTTATCACCAGGTAGTAAGGTATTGGCAAATTTTCCTTTAACTCATATAATAGGTCAAAGTACCAGACATCCGAAAAAATATGCAAATTTGAGCTAAAAAAATTATAGAACAACTGACAGCGAAATGATAGGTGATTTGATAGTTGACCTACACTTCAAAAGCAGCTTGTCTCATGTAATTTTAGTATACACACAGTCAGATAGAGGTATGTATACCAACTAATATATAAATTTTTGCATTCAGCCAACGAATTGCAAAAATTCAATTTAATGCTCAATATGAGCCTGTACGTAAAAATTTATTTAGCAGTAATCGAAAACATTTGCATGTAAAGGCGAAAACGAAAATACCAAGCCCCTAGTAAAATTGTGCAGTGGCGAGGCAAATGACTAAAATGCTACGTAACAACAACTCACACATACACATCCAAATGAGCAATATCAGTGACGACAACGCTTGTGCGTAAATTAAAATAAAAAGCCAGTATGAGCGATGTCCTGCGTAAAGAGGCGCAGCTTGTTTTTGCAATATTTTTGATTTTTTTATTAGTATTATATTTTTTTACAATCAGCCTGAAATAATATAAAAATAAATGTAAAATTTTATAGCATATGTGTAAAATGTTACACATATACATATACTACATATGCGTAGCGCAAAATTCAAGGCTAAATTATTATCCGTATATTTATATATACATGTATGTAGGTAGCTATTTTCGATATGTAAAAACTACATTAAAATTAAAATAAAAGGCTACAAGCTACATATATACATATACATACAAACAATACATATGAGAATATTAATATGGATAAAAAATTGTTAACAAGAGCAAAGAAGCTCAATAACTCAATAACTCATTAATACATTAATTAAATCATTAAATATTTCTTATATTGGTTATTAATTTGCACATATATATTAAATATTTTATATTTTACATTAGTAATTATCGCGAATTTCTTACTGTAATATCTTACTGATTTTTTTGCGCAGTTTTCCTGAGATCTCAATGCGACAAATTTCGAACCGAACTAGGACTTTGACGGCTATCAAATTACGATCAGGTTGTCAGCACAATTCAGCACATGATAGACAGAAAAGCATGGCTATGAATCATAAAGAGGTTCTGCATCAAAACTACATTTGAAAAGAAAATAGACATTAAATCTTCCAGCTGATCACGACTTTGCATAGGCTGCCTTAAATAGGCATTCACCCGTATGTTTTTAGACAAAAGCTATGTCTCGAAAAGTGAACTTACTCACAACAGAAATTTTGTAATTGTAAACCTATGAAGTGTGTTCCACAAATATTTTTTCGGATATGACAAGGTGTTTAGATTTCGAAAACCCGAAAGGGGGGAATTTTTTGGACTTCTTGGCCAATCTATTGACAGTCATTAAGCAAATAGACAACATAGAAAGCTTAACGAAACTGAGACTGAAATTAGCGGAGCATACGAGTATACCGTATACGAATCTCATCTCAACCGAAAACAAAATAGAGTGTATGGTCAGAGAGATTTGATGAGCATTTCACACTTAACTTGATGTAATGTTGAATCCACAATGAATAACATCGATATATTATTAAATCTTAATCATTTATTAATTTTCATCTGTTTGCTTAGATATCTTAGGTGGATATAAGTGGTTTTTAGAGATATAGAATTTTCTAGTGGGATAATTGTCAAAATACGTTTGGAAAATAGGGGAAAATTACGTATTTGGAGTGTAAACAGTCTTGAAGAGACGCTGATGTAGAAAAATTACTTGATAAGGTATAAGTCTACAGATTAAGTTGTTTGATGATGAAGTACAAAACATATCGTATTTTATTTATTATCACAGGGGAGCCGGAGGAGTGGACAGCTAACTGTACAACGTTGACGTTTTAGTTATATTGTAGTTGTTAATTAAATCCAGACCAAGTAGAAGCTGTTTATTCGTCTTTTACCAAGCTAACTTAAAAATTAAACTAAAACAATTAATGGAAAACTTCACTTTATGAGCTAATGAAAAATTAAAAATATACCTAAAATATCATATTAATATATCCTGTAAAATATCATCTGAAATTTTTCTAAGACCTCCTCAAGAAAACTATTTTATTACGATACCAAAATATTATTTATATCCTAAAAGTTTACATTAAAATTCGACCTATTTTTACTTTTCTCACGCGAAAATAATTTTTATTTATTTTATTTTTCCATAGCGAAGAGAATGGTTTTAATAAAATATTATATATATATATAAACAATTGAATTGAAAAAAACTAAAAAATTAAAAAGAGCAGAAGTGAGGACACCGCTATGCGTTAAAAATGTGTGTATAATACTTTACTGTTGAAGGTAAAGGTATTCGCATTTCTAAATTTACCTGAATATTTTTGGAAAATTTTTACTTAAGTTTATTTCAAAATAATATAACCCCGAAAATAGCTAATCTCTTTTTGCTTCTGTTTACAGTAGGTAATTTACGATGGAGCTTTCGAAAAGCTTTTGATGAAAATTTTTTAAGACCAATAAAGCTGTACAATCAGAGAACGTATATATATATATATCATATACGTTCTCTGATATTAGCTACTTAGCTATGTTATTGAAGGTGACTTTTTCGGTGTACCTAAACGCACCTTGTTCTAAATATCTACATATATGGTATATATATACCCTACCTTTTTTATTCCGCGAATCTAAAGTTAAAGCATACCTGCTCTTACTCAAATTAAGATAAACTACATTTTACCTGCTTGACGCTTATAAAAAGGCATAAAACCCGAACTTCCTTCGCCTTGCTGGTCACATACTTTCATTACTTGAACTCAACAAAAACTGCAAGAGCTAGTAAAAAAATAATTTTAGAAAACATTGTACTTTAAAAAGATTTCAATGGGTCAAATATTGCGGAAAATTTCTAATACTATATTGTCAAGCACTCAGTGCACCACATGCCTGAAACGCAGACGGAAACATCAAATTAAAGACAATGTATGCAAAAGACAACGTATTTCCCATGCAGGCGCTCTAAATTCGGAGAATGTTACACATCCAATCGAACAAAATATTAACATCAGTCTAAGGCATACACCGCCTCCGCAACATATATTTGATTATCCAAAATCTAACACTGAGAGAGAGGAAACTACACAAGCGGCACGCACCGAACTCATAACTGTATTCAAGGAAGAACCAGTACAAGATGCAGTAACACCTTCAATTCAGAACCACCAGATAAAGCATGAAAATACAGGGCAAACATATGCTCACGATCAGGTAAAGGAGGAAGCAATTAATATTGAAGATCAGTTAATCAAAGAAGAATCTACTGCCCTCGCCAATGAGATTGACAGAGAAATGCTCTCCGAAAAGTGCTCAACTGAAATAACTGACGATTTCAGCAGTTCGGATATAACCGAGAAGGAAACCGAGGAAGACCCACATATGGTAAAAATAGGACCGAATGGTACAACTGTACCGAAAGCGAAGTACGACAAGATTCGATGGATTAGCAGCTCGTTTGCAACACGAAAACTTCTTTCGTGTGTATTTGGTGCCGATACGCTTGCTACGCACTCTTACAGCGGCAGGATAGCGCCAACGTTCTATAAACTTAAACATACCAGAAAGCCCAGATTGGATCCAGACAAGATAGCTGATATAATTTATTGTGTGCAAAAGCAATTTAATTGCACAGAGCTAAAAATTCGAGCTGCGATCACGTCAAAATGTGTAGACGAAGCCAGATGCAAGAAACTAAAAGCTATGAAAATTTAAAGCCTATTGTATCTAGAGTACGATCTAGAGTACGAAAATTATATAAGAGAAAAATATATACATTTTGATAAGTACTATTTTTGTTTCCTGTCGGTAATAGGCTTGACCCCAATGTAGTGTTAAGCTCGGTGGTCTGCTTTAAAAAGAAGTAGAATTTTATTTGGTATGGAACTGGCGCTACTACTTTCCGCTTTCCTTTAAGCTAACTGCTTTTACTGCAGAAAAAACTCTGCGTCTTTTTTTCTGCTTTGGTAAACGCGCGGCAAAAGAGTAATCAGCTCGCATGAAATTTCTCGGATCATAGCATTCGTTTGCGGTTCTATCTGCAGCTCTATTTTTAGTCGTTATCACAAAACATGTTAAAAAGAATCTCAGGACAAATTCTGAACAGTCGTTTGATCTGTAGCCTCATTCTCTTATGCCAGTACTGAGGGAATGTTAAAGCTTCTCTTAGAAAAATTATACAAATCGCCTGTCACATTAACTAGAAAAAACTCATATAAAAAGTAAGGTTCTGACATTTTTCCATTGATTTTCATATTTCTAAGACCGTTTTGGTAGGCAAACTGTTTTTGAAACCAAACAGCAAAGCTTTTTATACCTTTTGTCAAGCGAAAAAGTTTCTCAAAAAAGTAAAAGAAAAACAATAAATTTTATACTCTCGCTATATATTTTACGGATTACAATAGTTTAGTTTACTTAACTGTTGTTTGTAAGAGCTAAAACTAATCGAGATAGATTAATAATTAAATCGTACTACAACCACATTAACTTCACATATAACAAAATATCAAATTCAATCAGACTCACAGATCACTAAAATATATAAATCGAACACCAATGAAGATATTGGTATAAAACTTTGAACAGATAGTGATACCAAGGTATGACTCTTCTCAACCAAAAATGGTAGAAATCTTAATATAACTTTTCGAGGCCTCTATGGCCGATATGAGATGCTTCAAACATTTATATGGCTTTATACTGAAAAGCTGGATCAATTTACGAGTTATCTTGATAAAATAAATAGTTTTTACAGATAAGCTGGGTTTGAAAATGGATTAAATTGGTTCAGTATTTCTCCTAGTTTCCAGCTAGTTGATTGTAAGAGATCCATAAGTTCATCGAACAATGCAGAAGAGAGTGAATTCTTCTTAATACAAAGCCGTTTTGACGCCTGAAAATAATTTTTGGGTGGGGCTCTCAAATTGCGAATATATAATATTTAGACATTTTCTGACGTTATTGTATTATATTTTCGCTAGAAGAGACTATGGGTTACCGCTGAAAGATACTATAATTTTCGCGTGAGTTGAAATAGTTTTTGGGAAAATTTATTGATAAAAAAATTAAATAAAATTTTAGGTTTAATTATTTAAAAATTAAGATTTTAACTAAATTATTACAAAAAATGAGGTTTATGCTTTTACCGAAATAGAAAAATATTTCACATAATTTTTTAACAATAAAAATTGTCCTGTTCCAGTCTCAGCTGTCTACCTCAACAGAGAGAATATCATTCATTGTTTGAAAGCCCTCCGACTTTTCATTGTTTTGAGTTTACTCATAAGTATATCACATTCTCGCTCAAACTTTTTACCGCAGCAATTCTCTGTCTCTCTCCCTTCCATCACACGTCCATCTACCTGTCCCGCTTTTTGTTCGTTAAACGCAGACTGCGGCTCAGTGCTAGGACACTAAAGCGTTTAATCACATTGAATATGTTTTCTGCTGTTTTCATTTTAACATAACAGTATTTGCAGAAACTTATTAATATTTACGGTCGAGCAATGCGACAGTTTGAGTGAGAAATAAAATAGTAATTTAAGTTTAGGGGTTCGTTGAACCCAGAACTTTTAAAGCGTCGGCGAACAGCAATTGCTTGTAAACGTAACGAATTTTGTCCTCAGAAAATCATATTTTAAGATTGGACAGCGTTTGTCGAGTAATGAAAACTGCTCCAAAATTTTAAAGTTCCAGTTCAAGATTCTGTCATGCGAAATGAAGAACCGAAAGCACGAGAAATGAAATATCTTTCAAATCATATTCATAGTCATATGCACATTACATAAGGGTGACCGACATTGCAGATGGATGCGCGGCCTGTAATATGTCAAATTACAAGTGCGTTAACAGCAACAATTTCTACTGACAAATTGGCTCAAGTTGTAGTGACATATCAAACCAACTTGAGCAACATGCACAAACTTGCCATAAATTGCCATTTTTTCAACTTAATCTTTCATTGAATTTGACGTAGCAAAAGCAAAATATAATTAAGGCAAAGTATCAGTGGGCCTATTTAGAAACTATAAGTTTTCGAACTCAACAATACTTTCGGAGATTATTGTATAGCCTTGGAGAATAATCTACGCACAATTTTGTGAAGATAATTTCTCAAACAAAAAGGTTTTCTACACAGGAACTTTGGTTTGTATGACAGCTATATATTGAACTACTACGATCTGAACAATACATTCGACTATTGTAGCGTTGCCGCGAACAATAATCCGTGCCGAATTTCTTATAGATATCAAGACAAATAAGAAAAACGGATAGGCAGATGTAACTAAATCGACTCAGCTCGTCACGCTGATCATTTACATATATCCGAGGTTTCCGAAGTTTTCCCTGGTTATTAAAAACTGCGTGTCAAAATTAAACCCTTTCAGGGTATAGTAAATCTATTCTTCAAAGCCTTACAATAAGCAGAGATTTAGATAGCGGTTATAAATTTGAGAACGATTATAGCAGAATTTAGACACGTAATCACAACATCCGCACATCAATAACATAGCTAATGGTATACATAAATGTGGTTTTATTTCTCTATTTTGCATTATTTGATTCGATAAAACTCTGTCCATTCGAATACAAGCTCATTGTAAAGTCGGTCAGTCAGGCAGAAAACTCTTATCACAAAGAACTGTATAATCATTGCTGAGCGTCACAGTTCAGTGGTCACAAGCGAAATAAAATTTCCAGTTTGCTTGCGAAATGCCAGCAATTAAAAGAGCTTAATATCATTTGGCCTCGCCTCCCAGTGCGACACAGCGTATGAGTAATATTTTGGGTATGGAGGAAAAAAAGTCCATATCAAAAGCATTTTTAACACACAATTGCTATCTCTTCAATGATTTATGGCCGATTATATGCATTTACAAGCCACAATATAGCCAACAACAACAAGGCGCACAGCTGCAAAAACAAACTTTTCATTGCTGCCACAAAATGCTGCGCACCCGTGGCATTGTGACGGCGCAAATTTGGTATTAGCTGCTTGTTGTTGCTTTCTGCTGGCACTTTGTAGCGAAAGTGTTGCAAAGAAGGCGCAACAATGCAGTTTAATTTCAGTTGCGTATTCGCTTTTCATTTGCGCTCACAAGCGATTGTTTTTCTCGCCTTTTTTGTTGGCTCTACATGCATGAGCTTTGCTTATTTGGCAAACTGTGAATTTGTGTGTTTGTGTTTTTTCATGCATTTTCACTATGCGAATTGTTTTGCCGTGAAAGTGGAACAAGTTCGTTTGGCTTTTGTTTTTTTGCTTTTTGCCTTTCGTTGGTGGCAACTTTTCGACTTTTAACCATGAACATGCCAATTGCACACGCTACGCACGCACAGACACAGTCGCTTGTGCGCCGTAGCAAACTGCTGGTGCCTCTTAACTGCAACTGGCAAAGCGCCGCTTGCGCTCGCTGAAAGTCCCGCTTATCTGTCGCTTGCAATTTATTTATTTGCGCCGCTATTGTGGTTGCTGCTATTGCTAGCTGCCGGTGCTGCAATTGAAATTTATCGCACTTTCTGCAGTTGCCATTGCCGCTGCGTCCGACACATTCGCGCCCCAATACGATTTCAACACCAAATTTGTCGCAGCGCCGCTCGAAACTTTCAAGTACGAATGCTCTTGGCGGCGACTGTTGAATTTTTAAATTTGTATAGTTTTTCACCACGCTGACTTTCTTTTTGTTGTTTCGATTACTTTTTTCTTCACGCCGCCGCTTCAACCAATGCCTTCTTTTCGTGTCTGCGCACGTGACACAATTATAATTTTGTTATTTTGTTGTTGTTGCATTGCGCTTTCTTTTAATGTGTTTTTTAACGATTTTCGCAGTCAAGTTTTCCCGAAATGTGCATAATGTTTTTGTTTTTTGTGTGTGTGTATCCCCTTCACTTTCTAATCTGCTTGGTAACCGTGAACAGTTGCCGTTATTTATTGCTTTGACGCAAATTGCATTTATTTGTTGTTGGTTTTTTGTTTCTATTGTTATATCTTTTGTTTGTATGCATATATTTTAAGTGAGTTTATTGCTGTGTTTTTGTTTTTTAATTTTTCACAATTTTTTATTTTTTTTTGTTTTCAGTTTTAGAATATAGTTCGTGCTTACTTATTTCAACGTTGGCTTTTTTGTGTTTTTGTATTCTAGTTACCGCGTTTCTTTGCCATGTTGGTCGCATGTCGCTCGCAATTTACGGCGTAACTTTACATATTTGTTTACTAAATAAACAATGTGACGCAAATCATCGTCGATTGCTGTTGCTTTAATGCAACGGATTGAAAGTTATGAGCCCATCTACTAACACACTTATCTAAAGTAGGTATGTTTATGCTATAGTGTCCGATATATTATCAAATGAAGAAGTTTTCCATACAAGAACTTGATTTTGATTGTTCAGTTTGTATGGCAGCTATATACCATAGTGGTGCGATCTGAAGAATATGCTCGGATGTAGCACTGCGTTGAACAATAGTCTGTGCCAAATTTCGTGAAGATAATTTGTCAAATTGAAAGGTTTTCCATAAAAGGACTATATTTAATATATAATATATATAATAATATAATATGGCTATATGCCATGTCAAATTTCGTGCAGATATCTCATCAAATAAAAGAGTTTTCCATACAAGCATTTTAGACGATCGTTCAGTATGTATGGCAGCTATACGCTATAGAGGTCCGATATCAGTGGTTCCGACAAACGAGCAGCTTTTTGGAAAGAATATGACGTTTGCAAAATTTCAGATCAATATCTTAAAAACTCAAGGGGTAGTTCCCTTATGAAAAGACAGACGAAC